TGACTCATTTAATCATCCAAAACTTTATGGAACACATTAATTAACTGAAAAATGTTGCATAGTATGCCTTTAATTCCTTCGGTTTATTCAGTGTCTCGTTTTTTTTTTTTTTTTTTGTCGATCGGTTCTGTTAGCAAGAAAGTTTAGCAAGAAATCATCTCTGCCTCTTTAGCTCTGCATCTGGGCCCTCCAAAAGTATCCGCTAATCCTAACAGAGGTCATTATCTGCTCTGGTCTGCCTTGAATCAAATTGAAAAGGAACCTAAAAAATGTTTTTGTAGTTCAGACAAGCTAAGGACTCTGCCAGTCAAGAAACCAGCGGCACAACACCCTTTTTTTAATCACATTCAGTATCGGGTGATTGTTTACACAACATGCCAAAAAGTAGTTTATGGGTGCTCCCTGTGCTCAGCTTTGTCCCAATACATCAGTACCCCATGACTGCATAGTCAGCCAAGTGTAGATAACGGGGGTCTCTCTTATACTGGAAATACGAGGCATAAAGAGTAAGACATAATGGTTATAGTATAGATCCCTGTGGTGCTCATGTTCATCTGTTCCATAAAAAATTAACCATTTAGTCTTAAAACATGGTCTGTTGATCAAGCAGTCATTGATTCCTAAAATCAGCTGAGTCTTCTGGAGGTTCCTGAGATAAGAAATCAGGCGGAATTGTTTAAAAAAAGGAAACCAAAAACATGATCCTTACTGTGTCCTTTCAGTCTCAAGATGCCAGTAAAGCAACAGTGGGTCTGAATGTTCACAAAATCCCAACTGATAAAATATGAAGAAGAAAAAAAATTTCACCTCTTGCGACCTCGTCCGTGACAGCGAGTGCAGCGTTTGTTTCTTGCCCGACCATGGCCATGGCAAAAAGTGCAACGTTTCTGAGGAAACGGAAGAGCTGGAGTTAGAAAAACTGCTTGATTTTAAACTTTATGATTTAAACAGAAACTCCTCCAAAGATGAAGGCTCTTATGACTCAAACCAGAGAACTTTCACCTGAAACTCAACAGTCTCATCTTGTTCTTAGAAATGAAGGCTATTCCATGCAAGATATTGCTAAGAAAATATTTCCTACAATGGTGTGTACTACTCCCTTCAGAGGACAGCACAAACAGGCTCTAACCAGAGTAGAAAAAGAAGTGGGAGGCTGCGTTACACAACTGAGCAAGAAGATAAGTACATTAGAGTCTCTAGTTTGAGAAACAGACACCTCACAGGTCCCCAACTGCCATCTTCATTAAATAGTACCCACAGTAGCCTGTTTGTGCTGTCCTCTGAAGGGAGTAGTACACACCGTTGCAGGAAATGTTCAATTTCTTATCAATTTCTCGCATGGAATAGCCTTCATTTCTAAGAACAAGAATAGACTGTCGAGTTTCAGATGAAAGTTCTCTTTTTCTGGCCATTTTGAGGACACAATAAGGACATTTCAATGTGACACCAAACTTTTGAACGGTAGCGTATGTTAAGAGGGGGTGGACTCAGATTTCAGCTTTCAAAAACCTACAATTCAGCAGTTGGGTTGATTCCTTCCCACTATCATTGTAACCCCAAACCCCCTTACAGGGGAACAGAAGACCATGCAACCCAGACTGACAGCTCATTGGCTGATTTGGATCACATGCAGCCTAGTGCCGGACGCTCTGGAGGGCTTTACTGTAATAACAGGACAAGCGCCACAAGTAAAATTAGACACTGCCGTCAGACAAAATGGGGTAATTTATAAATGTTTTAAATCAGGTTGGGTCTGGATTGGTTATCAGGTGGGTCCGGATCCAGACCACTAATTCGTGTCCTCTGGTTTAGAACATAAAATTTCCCAAAAGACCTGAATCGCAAAATTTAGCTTCCTCACTAGCAGCAATCAAGCTCTGCTAACAAGCTCATACTGAATTCAGGTGTGTTGAAGCAGTTTGATCTTCAGTTTCAATTCACATTCACTTGATCAGTGAATGTGACCTTCTGAAGGTCTGCAGATGGACTTCAAGTGTCATTGAACTAAACCAGAAACCTACTGAGTAAAACCCGTC